TACTCAGTAAAGCTTACGTCGAGAAAACACAGGGTGGAGACACTGGAAAGTAAGATGGAACCAGGACCATAGGAATGAGAGAAATTAACTGTGAAGTGGAGATAATCAAGGGAAATAGAACCACATGACAGAGCAGAGAACTAGGAAGAGCTGAAGAAAATGGGAAATACAGCAGCCTAAAAAGCATGGAGAGAAGTTTTTAAGCTCTAAGAAAAAACAATTAGGGCCAGCCAAATAGCTCAGCGGATTAAAGCACCTGCAAGCAGGTACAAGGGCCAAGGTTTCAATTCCCAGGCCTACCATGCTGGCTCCACCCCCAGGACATGCTGAGATGGCAATTGAAACTGGGAGTGGTGGTGTGCACCTGTAATCCCAGCTCTTGGGAGGCTGTGAACAGGCAGATCACTACGAGTTCAGTCTAGTAGTGAGACCCTGAACACACTGCAGACCCTTCACTGAAAAAATAAAGCCACTCTCCACAACACATCTAATCAGCATCTCAGGAATTCAACAAAAGGAGAAAATACTAAAAGTGGTTAGAGAAAAATAATGAGTAAGTGATCAAAGAAAGCCCATCCAAGTCACTGCAGACTTCTCAGCAGAAATCTTCTTCTTTTTTTTTTCTTCTCAACAGAAATCTTAAAGCCCAAGAGAGCCTGCACAGAAGTTTTGCAAGCCTCAAGAGAAAACAATTGTTGAGCTTGAATTCAATCTCCTGAAAAACAGTCCTTCAAAATTTATGGAGAAATAAAGACTTTGCATGGGAAAGAAATCCTACATAACCACTAACACAGCACTGCACAATATATTTAAGGGAATTCTACACCGAGACAGGGAGGCCATCAACAGCAAATCACCCAAAGAAAAATATACATGCAATTTTTAAAAAAGGAAAAATTAATAAGGGAATCAGCAATGGAAAAATAATTCAATAATAGTATTCAATGAACTTAGCATAATAACATTTGGTATCAATTGTATCTACTAACCAATTAAAAGATAGAGTCTTGCAGAGTGGACTAAACAAAATTCAACAGAATCATGCTTTATCAGAAGGAAATCGATGCACCAAGTATGAATCTATGAAAACAGATATCCATTCAACCAGTGCCCCAGAACAAGTGGGAGAAGCCGCCCCACTGTCAGACACAGAGGACTTCAAAACAGATCAAAAGGCCCAAAGCTGTCCACTTTATACTGCTTGTTTCAGTTAAACAAAAAGAAAAAAAACTCAATAAAGGAATCAGGAGTAGAAAAATAATGCACTAACTATTCAATAAAAATCTTAGGATAATAACTTTTGGTGTCAAATATCTCAACTGACCAAGTAAAAGCCAGAGCCTTGTAGAGTGTATCAAAAAAGAAAAGGCAATGGAGTCATGGTTCTTCCCAAAGGAAATCTGTACAACAAACATGAAAGTATAACAAGTAGCCATTCAACCAGAGCTCCAGAGCTAGCAGGAGAAGCTACCTCACTTTCAGACACAGATGACTTCAAGCTTAAATTGATCAGAAGGTCCAAATACATCTACTTTATACTGCATGTCTCAGTTACCTTTCTCTCATTGCTGGAAAAAAAATACCTTCCACCAAAACTAAGGAGGGAAAGGTTTATTTAGCTACATATAACAGGACAGAGAGATAATGATACACTTACAGTGGGTACCTCTAAACCAACTTCTCACAATTACACAAGTAAACTACACACAAAAAAGTGAGTTAAACCACACCAGTAAACAAATAGACTTCACAGCTATTTGGAGTGTTTCACCCAAAACAAAAAGCACAGATTTTTCTCAAGAGCACATGGGATGCTTTTGAAAACAAATGGACTATATTTAGGCCAGAAAAGGGTAATGTGCAACAAT